CACCCCGTTCTCAGACCCTAATTTTTTTCATTTTTGGATGATTTTAATGACTTAGTGTTTGTTTTAAATGAACATCGTTTAATTTTGAACTGTTTGTAATGCCCCCCTTCGAGAAGACCCTGTTCAAAATGGCTCAATCCTTAACTGCATTTATATCAGCTAATGAGAGCCCCAGTTACCTATCACTGAGAGGGACATACATGTACCCGTAAAATTCTGAATGAAGTTTGTCAAATGTAGACAATACTACCTAAAAAAAGGCCTTTTATGATTGAATTAAGAAGACGGTCGGGTGAACAATTTTGGCCGATAGTATTTTACTAAAAGATAATGTGATGTTCAAGGTATTCGAACCCTGGCAATCATTTTGCTTTGAGACTTTCTCTCTAAACACTACGCTTTACATTTCCTGACAAAATGGGGCAGTTAAATCATGTTTGTGATATGGTTCTTGACTGAATAGCCTTCAAGTATTTCTCGGAAAGATAATAATGATCATGTCAGAAAGTGTATTTTAAAAAGTTTTATTAGGTCTTTTTCCGTGTTGATCAAAAATTAAACAAAAAGTGTGTATTTTTACGCAAACTTTTAGGATTAACTTCCAAGTAATTGAGCAAAGACCCACCTTTGTCAGAGGCGTAGTCACAAACTTAAAAGTGGGGGGGGGATCAACTCCAGAAATTCTTTGACAAGCCAAAAAAAAAAAAAAAAAAAAAAAAAAAAGGTCATCAGACGGTTTTAATGAGGGGCACCAGCATATAGTAGCTAAGTTTTCAAGTTTTCTGTAGTATTCTATATATTGCCAACCCTCCAACCCCCAATTCCAAAGCCTTAAGGCCGTGTGTGTTAAATAAAGAAATATTAAGATGTACAACATGTAATATCCTTCGGCGAATACAGGATATGTAATACGGGGGTATGACATGAAATAATAATAGTCATATCACACTTTCAATGGTGGGGCCTAGGGGGGCGAAGCCCCTGGAAGCTCCTGAGTTTTCGTGTGATTTAATAGTAAAACCAGAAATTAAAATAGTGGCATTGGTTAGATATGTATCAAAGTATGGCATTAATAATATTAATCATATCATACTTTAAAAATTTTAAGGGTGTGCGTCCCTCACGCCCCCTTTAATCAGCTAGCCAAAGTGATATCAAACCCCTGTCTAAGCTGAATGAGAGGATTTAAAATAGTGTTTTTAAAGTTGATTGACATTCATCAAAGGTATACCGAAATCAGAATCTCCAATACTGCAGCTATCTTGTAGAAATTACTTATTTTGATGAGATTTGGATTGACTAGAATTCTGTAGTACATAAATGTAAAAATAAAAGAGTGCTAATGAATCAGCAAAATTAAATAATTAAAAATCTGGAGTTTGACAAAACTTACTTTGTGACTATGTGTTATACAAGAAATGGGATACAGCAAATAAATAATGACTTTCAGATGTCAGCACAAGGGGTAGTTTGTGATTCTCATTTAATTTTGTTAGATAACAGATGCTGAGAGAAACAGAAACGTCTAAACTTAAATTTATGACCCGCACTCCCTATCCCAAACTGGCGAACACAAGAGGTCTTGACAGATTTAATTACTAAATTACATTACTATATCATACAACTATTACTTTCAAGAGAAATGCTTACTGAGTTGTTGAAAATTAAAAAAAATTGCCATAAAATGAGGTTTAATATTATTTCAACATAGCTGTGATTTTGTTCTTCATTAAAAAGTGGGAGGGGGGGCACAGACATACTCTTGCCCCCCCCCCCCCCCCGATCTGAAAGTGGGGGGGGGGGGGCTAGTGCCCCCGCTGCCCCCCCCCCCCCAGTGACTACGCCTATGATTTGTTGAAAAAATGTGATATGAGAAAAATGATCTCTTTTGCCCTTTCATGTTTATCGCACTATAGGCATTTTTCATGCTAAATGTATCAAAACGTTATTGTTGTAAAAAAAAATATACAATCTAGTGTGTAATTCGTATAAAGTGGAAACAGACGTGCCGAGAAAAGGGTGTAAGACTACATATTTGTTAAAACATGGAAAAGGGAAATAAAAGTGGAAGGTAATGGTTAAATGGGTTGCACAAGTATCGGATAAGTCACTTTACCCTATAATACTATTCACACGGCCTAGTCTGTAGTGAATCTTAGTTTCATAGTCAAAACATGTCCAGCTCGACTAACGAAAATTACAAAATTATTCCCCTTCTCAGAGAAACACTGATTCACTAGTTTAATTTTTTTTTTTTACATCTAAAATTGTACATGAACTTCATGCAATAAAATTCAAATATTCTGACTGAAATTTTCAAAACATTTTCTTCATAATGCATGTATGTATTTCAAACACCACTCAAATAGCATAAAAGATATTTTCGAGCTAGCCCTAGTACAATTTGTGATCAAAGTCATCAAATTTTTTAAGTTACATTTCTTTCAATTGTAGGAAAAGCAATGAAGACTGAAGAATGCCTGCCATCTGAACATCCGAGTTTTAATTATTTTCGATTTCCGAATTTTATTTATTTATTTTGTATTTTGGAAACCAAGGAGAAGACACCCGAGCTATTTTATCCAGTATCTTTGATTGACATCAAATTTATTTTTTATTTCTTTCGGTTATTTCTTCAAATTCCCAGAATGTTGGCTACAGAGCAGAGAAAAAGCTATGCGGCTAAACATTGCTGACAAAATTCATCTTTTCTAAGTTCTTCTTTGGCTCTTTTTATCTGGTAACTAGGTAGGCGAGACAGATCGTTCTGCCAAGTTACCAGAGCAAAGTTACTTCATGACTTTTGGAACTTTCGACCGACCAGGAAACGCCCATTCCTATATATAAAGGAATGGGACTTCCGTTTCCTGTCAAAAACTGTAAATTGTAATTGATACATCCATTCAGAGATGTTTGAAAGCTCCGTTGTCTTCTCTTTTCGAAATTGTGTTAACATTTCTTGTTGTAACATCAGTAAATTGCATAGCAACAACTAGCTTTTTGTTATTTTTCATTCACTAGTACTTTTGCATACTGAAGCGATACGCAAGTTGCGTGTTTCGTATCTCGGAATGGACAGAATTTTGTGTTTCATGATAATTCGATTTAACAATGTCCATTACCTACAATAATGTAGCCCTCTCCGATTTTTTTCATCTGATGTTTTCTGGAGAGGGCTACAAGTCCACAGCATCTCCGTAATGGTGCAAATATATTTTTTTTTTAATACGGACGACTGCTGGCAAATAAACTTGTTTTTAAATTCATCTTACTTCTAATAAGACGAAATTTTTATTCACTGTCAACAATATAGTCCGTGAAACGCGAAAAACATGAAAAATAAATCTGTTTGTTTACCAGTCGCTCTACTAAGCAGCCATGACAGTTCACGCGTGATTCACTGAGACTTTCGCTTGAAATTTAGAACAATAAAGCAAATGTCGTGTTTATAAATGATTTAGCTGCAGAACTGTAGCTCTCCGAAAAAGTATGTTGACAGACCAGAGAGTTACAGTGCCACCCATTGAAAAAAACTGTATATTTATTGCGCACAAAAATGTGCGCTGTTTCTTGATTTATTTTGCCGTGTTTTTAAACTGTCGTCTCAAAATATTACTACATGTAACTATGTGTTCCTAACATATTCCTTCACTGTTTCCACAACATAGCATTCCTTATAATTGTTATTAATAGCCCTCCTGGCCCTGACATTGATAACATCAAAAATTTCGTCTATTTATACTGCCATTTTGGCTCGCAAGATAATTCAGACCTATACGCTTCGTGTAGATGTTGACTACAAGAGTACTTAGTAGTAAAGGAGTAAGGAATTTTATGCCCTGCCATGAATATGGCCGGGACATATAGTGTTTGTCATGTCCGTCCTCCGTCCTTCTGTCCTTCCGTTACACTTTGCGTTTTGCTCTGTTCAAAGCTCAGTTTGAAAGAAACTTTCCAAGATATTTTCATCAAACTTCATATGCTGATAGATATTGATGAGAGCTATGCAACTATTTTTGACCTTGATCTTTCCTTTTACCTTGATCACACTATTCCTAAACTAGTGTTTAGCTCAGTTTTATCAAACTCCATATGTTGATACATATTGATGAGAGATATGCAAATGCATCAACATCTTTGACTTTGACCTTTCCTTTGACCTTGGCCTCACTTTTCCTAAATCAAGTGTCAAACTTCATATGCTGATACATACTGATGTAAGCAATTCAACTGCATCAACATTTTTTACCTTAAACTTTTGTTTGACCCTGACCTTTCCTTTGACCTTGACCTCACTTATCTTTAATAAGTGTTTGAGGTAAGAATTTGGAAGAATTTCAGAACTAAACGCAACTTTTTGTGCGCAATAATTATACAGTTTTTACAATGGGTGGCACTGTAGCTCTCCGGTCAGTCAACATATTTTTTTCGGAGAGCTACAGTTCTGCTGCTTTAAATGATTGTGTTGAATGGTATCATAAAACATCGATAAATAAATCATTTTCAAGTGTAATGTTTACGCAAACAGCGATATTTATGCTTAAAATAAGGGAATTCCTGAAAGATCCGCTCCTATAAATCCTAAATCCTCATTGGCTGTTCCAAAATAAAATCTATCAAGGTCAGTTAACATGGCGGATTAATTCAAGTTGTGATGTTGACATACACGAAAAATAACATATGGAACGTTGTGAATATTTTTGGTCCGATTTATGTCTTGCATAACTACTGAACAGTTTTTGGAGTCCACGTAAGAAATGTTAATAAAATAGGCATTCACTGAAAAATTTAAAACATGATGAAATTAACCCCCCCCCCACACACACACACAAATATAGAGTAGGTTTAAAAAATATTCACAAATAATGAATATTTATATATATGTATTTATATATAGATAAATAAAATGTCTAACAACTGTAAATATTAAGAATATTTCCTTAAATTCTCAAGAGTTTAATTAACAAGTTAAAGTACAAAATTAAAACGATTAAAATACATGCATTTAAAGATTTGGAAAATGAACAGAAAATCTAAAACCTTTCGAATTTCTTTTTTCTGAAATTCGTTAATATGATTCACTAACTCCTGATCGGGAGACATGTCTCGGATGACTCTAGAAGTCATCCGGCTTTGTGGTGGACAGTTGAACCTGTTAACCTAAGAACGCCGCAAACGCCGCCACCACAACCACAAACACAAACTGAAAAGAGCTCATAATACGTCAGAATCTTCCAAGTAAGACACTGCTGGCAACATCTGAAATTTTTAAAAGAGATGTGCAGCTTACATTCAGTGATGATTGTTATATCCATCTTTGCTAGCCAAGGGTTTCCGATCCGATACCTACTCTACTGTAGTAGTTTAATTAATTGTGATCGGGTAAGGCCCAAATATTAAATCAATTGATTTTTTCTATAATTACTCAATTACATTTCAATTTCTTTTTAAAATATGATTGACAAACATATTCTCCTCAGTTGTGACTAGTTTTATGGTGTTTTTAATAACAGGTTTAAAAAATATTCACAAATAATGTGTTTTATTTTCATAAATAATTTATATGTATATTTATATATATGCATTTATATATAGATAAATAAAATGTCTAACAAGCCTTTCTTTACATATTTTACTAGATATTCATATGAAGCATCTACAGCAAACTTTTAACTCGAAAACATATTATTTGGATATGAATAATTTTGTTTTTCATTTTTTTGTTGTTGAAAAAATACAAAAATAATGAATACAAATAATAAAGAGCTAATATCGGCCTTTCAATGCTGAAACCATTGTTTAAAAAGGATGACTCAAAGATCTATCAAATAAAAAGTTGGTGTGGCATTCCACCTTCATAAAATTACAATGATGCATCTCACTGTATATGATAAAATCTTGGTTTTTGGCACACTTTGCACTATGCAAAAAGTTTTGCTATTCTCTTGAAAATACGATGAAAAGCTCAGCCAACATAATCACGAACTACGAGTTTTAAGACAACGTCAAATTTCGGTCAATTCATAACTTTTCTGAAAATTCCGGGATCACTCTATCTAAAAAGCGTATACTTAGTATTTATGACATAGGCTGGGGGGAAATGCATTAAGATACAGGTTTTCCAGTGGGTAAGAAATAAAAAAAAAATAGAACTTCAATGGATGTTGATTAAAGGTGTGGCGCCTTTTGGGGGCTCTGTTTAATGCCCCTAGAAAAATCAAAGTACTGAAAAGCGGTTAGCATGCTTTCATCGAATATATACAGTGTACAATAACAAAAAATGCATTGAATGATGATATTAAAGTAGGCATGCATATCTTTTTCCAGTGTCATCAGCGAAGAAGCAGACACACTGAATTTTGTCGTACTTAACTAAATGGTATAACCAATAACATCCCAGACTGATGTCACAAATGTTTGTTTCAAAATATCAACCTGAGATTTTCAGTTTGAAAGACAGGAAGTTCAATTTCAAAAATTTCTCCCTAATTGTCTCCATTGGTGGCGTCCAAAAGTGCTCAGAACGAAAAAAAAAATTATGTTGATGTTGCAAATTTAATTGGCTTTCATGCTCTATTGATTATGAAATTAGGTAACTGTAAAGGCTACTATAGCAAACAACTCAAAAAGAAAATAAAATGATAATTCAAATTCTTTAGGTTAATTAATTTGGAGTACTGTACATAGATCTTTAGCTGGCTAATCTGAGAAAAACGGATGGACGAGCAGAGAATCAATTAATTTCAGAGAGCTTCAGTTTCGTAGGCTCACTGCGGGTCAGCAGGTGTGACCTGTCATTGGGGATGCTTACTTCTCGGGCACAACTAGGCACCGGAACTTTCAATTTTGCCGGCTGCCCCACTGTTGTGTAGACCACTGTGGACAATACCTGCCAACTCGAATAAAACATTAAACTTAAATACGTAGCATTTGTTTATTATATACGTTTTTATTTTGAGACCGATCACTGTTCATTCTGTATTTTGATACAGATACTGAGTACATCTGTTTATTAATATTATGAACTATTTCTCTCACAGGAAGAAAGACAAGTAAACAAGATAATAAAGTTTTAAGAAATGTACATTATTGACTTTTCATACAATTAAATGTTCGAATAAGTAAATGGTATATGACAATTATTTAAAAGAGAGTCTTGCACGATATGTATAGACGAACATATACTGAGTATTTGGCAAATATTTTTCATGAAATATTGTAAAAAAAAAAAAAAAACAAAAAAAAAAAAAAAAAAAAAAAACGTGTGAAAAGGAAAGTTGTTGTTTAATCCATCAATACTAGTATTTTAAAAATTCAAAGCTAGGTTCACTAAAAGTCAGTGTATAACAAACAATTTAATTGTCCATTGCAAGAATTACCTAGGTATCATTGTCACTTTCTTCAATATGTCGCATAAGCAATACATTGTTGTTGTTTTTTTTTTACTAAAAACAAGTATGCGAATTTCTATCAATATGTCTGTAAGCATCTGTATTTTAA